CTCGTCAACCATTTATAAATTGGTCAGGTTAACCACTACTGACCGTATTATCCAGATCTTAGCCCGGAAAAGTGCAACACATGTCTTCCCGACCAAATTTCTTTCTCCACTTTTTCTACAGCGCCCAGTTTGTCACCACTCCAACACTATAATGGGATATTCGCGTCGGAATTTAAGATACGATAGTCCCCAGAAAAGGTCAGTGCCGGAAAATAACGCAAAAATAAACCTGAATTTTACCCAAATCCCCGTCCGTGATCACACTTATCGAATTTTCGTCAATTCGAAATCCAATTGTTGGAGTACTCGGATCCAGCTCCAGAAATATCTCTTTCAGAATCGCCGGTTTCATCAAGACTTTCGCAGCAACATCGGCAGGATTGAAATCAAAATCAAGCATCTGAATCACAAATCGAATACTGTAGGTCCGGACCGATGAGAGGCATCCACAAGCAATTCCGGGACAGTTTTCAATAACGCGGCAGCAGCAAAAACTCACCGTATCCGGGATTACTGTTTTGATTAGACACCGAACAACAATACCATCCTTTTCGAGCATAACGACAAACGGTTCGCCGTGACCATCGTATGTCATCTTCAGCACCGTACTGACGCCCATACCGAATACACACAAGCATTCCTGCAAAAGCAATAATTCGGCCGGAGGGCACCGCGCACTGGGAAGTAGCGCTGCTTTCGTGGAAATAGTAGAATGGAAGGACTGGTCTTAAGTGTCATGTGCCGAAGGACATTTTACGATGTAGTTAGTTTGTGTTTCATCCCTTAGCTGTAAACACAGACCGAGCAATGTGTGCGGGTAGAAGCGGGAATTATTAGTACAGCCTCCTACCCGACATGTTCTAAACCGTCATATAGCTAATTTGCAAGATAGATATGTGAAGAAAAGAGAAATAAGAGACAGGGCAGAAAGAATGAGAGAGAAGGAAAAGTTAATCCATGATAAGGACAATCATTATATGCCATTTATGAGTAAAGACTTTTTATGAGAATAATGTGCTGACTAGGCGTTTAATTCCTGAATTATTGGGGAAGATGAATTTGCTAAGTACTGAGCGGCTGTTGAAGCAGAATCCGAAAACGAAGCGTTCTATTTTGGCAATAACAAAGTTTTTATGTCTATAGATGTTTATAAGCCGTCTAGCCCAGTCATGGAACCCCTGTGGAAGAGTGCATATACTTCTATCGGTTAACACTGAACTGATAATCTGATAAGAAAGGAAGAATGGAAGAGCAAAAAAAAAAGCTAAATTTGAAAAGATTTACCGCAAAGAGGAAGAAGGGAATGCAAAATGTGACAACACTTTGATTGATAATAAATTCTGCAAACAATTCGGGCTTGAAGTACGCGACTCCCTGAACAGCATTCTGATCATCCACAATCACACGCAAGCCATTCTCAGTGATATCGAACAGACAATTCTGAAAAAAAAACTCATTTAGCAATAGACTAACACAGCCGCTCTCTTAGAAATTCATGAACCGAAACATTCCTTTCCCGTTATATCCCTATCCACATACTTACATTAACAACCATTTGGAGAAAATTTCCTACAACAATTTTTTGCAAATAATGCCACATGCACTCATAGGCGGATTCAGGACGGACTCCCAACGAGGCGGGGGGGGGGGGGGGGGGGGGGGGGGGGGGGGGGGGG